AAGATGTCAGAGTGAATGTCCCATACATGTTTCCTTGACATCCATGTGCACAGAAACTGGTAGAGATATCTTCACAGCCCTTCAGCATAAAGTACGCCACAAGATCTTTCGATGAAGTACCAGAAGTTCAGCTCCAAATTAGAAATAAACTGACCTAAAGAAAGCTTCACCAAAGCAAATGGTGTCTTGATCTTCATCTTCACCAACATACATATACAATACAAAATTCTTGGATAAAAACTTCCTAGGTAACAGACCAAAAGACTCTTCAAGACCAATCTGAAGAAGATTCCCAACAATATTGATAAACATACATTTGTTTATTATCTAGAACATATGTTGCATCTCTATTTTGTCTGAGAAAAACACTTCTTGGATCAACAAGATTCATCACACACTCTTCAGAAGTGATATTTCAACATCTGGTTGAACATCAGGTCCTTTTCCCATGAACAAGACATTGAATTTGAGTTCTTGCACTGTTTGAAGCTGCACCTTCAGTTGTGAGATCATCTTTCTTGAACACCAAAAAAAAAGATAACCAATTAAATACCTGCTAAGCAACAAATAACGATTGGTTTTAAATCCAATTTTGTATTCTTTAGATTTGCATCCCTCTTTAGTATGACAATCTCATGTCTTATTTCAGATATCCTTGAAGCATTCACTTGATCATCTACTTTTGACAAACACATTAAGAATTGTCTTTATGAGTAAACTTGAGAGACAACTCAAGTATTTTAGACAAATAATGACATAGAGTGTTTATCAAATTCAATGAATATACAAACCTTATTCAATCTCTTTCCTTCCATTTATCTTCATGTTACCTGATTGGAACTATCTCCTAAGATTATAAGTAACTTGAATTATTATGTTTTTATTCATTTTAGGATAATACAATATTATATTTGTCTTAAAAACATTAAGATTTATTACGGTTGGTTTTTCCTTCCATTCTTTTACTCACAAAAATAATCCTTCCAATTGTTCATATTTAAATATTTATATTTCTCTCCTAGGCAATTCAAATTCTAAAAAAATCACTGTAACAAATCTTATAATGAATTTCTTATATTTTATTAAATAGTATTTGATTTTATGTCATAACTCTATCGCTATGGCTGTGTGAAAAAAGAAAAACTCTTTTCCTATCCCTATATATTGTGAAACAAGTGGATAAAATGATTACAACTCTATCTCTTCTAAATAATCTCATATTTTTCATACATTAAATAAAAGATATTATTCTTTTTTATAGAAATTATTGCAAGACATTAATTATTGCAATAACATGCAATTGATTGGAATTGCATTTATAGTTCAAAATTTTGCACATTTTTATATATTACTGCTCATCTTAAGATTTGTTCCACGTATTATTAAAAAATTAAATGTATTTATAAAATTCATAAATATATTTTCGGATGTACTCATTCATACACAATTCATTTATTTATTTTTTGAGTCATATCTTAATTTTATGTTAAAAATTAATATGAAAATGTATTCTCATATAACTTACAGAGATGTATTTTCAGACGCGTTTTTAAATAAATATATGTTAAACCATTCTCCTTTCTCATTTCTCTTTTACTCTCTCAATCTCTCAAAATCTCAAATTATTTCAAAGTCTCTCAAACTCTCACTCTCTCTCAACTCACGTCCAATTTTCTACCATCAACATCTAATTGATTAAAGAGCTCATAATCAAACTCACATATCGTAAATTTTGTATTTCTCTTTACGTTTGTAGAAATTGAACATTAGACTGTGTAATAGGTAGTTTATATATGTTATTTAAGTGGACATTATGTCTGATAGGTAATTTAAATGATTAATGCATGTTTAGGATGTTGGATTCAAATGGATTTTTGTCATTTTCGTTCTATTATGAGTTGCATAACAAAATAGAAATGCACTTATGAATTTAATCAACATTTTGATTTTTCATAATCCAAAAATGCATTTCTGTATAGTCAATGCATTGTTTGGCTTTATTTTTGTTGTGTTTCATCTGAATAAAGCATATGCGGTTTAATTATAAGCTATGGCTTATAAGCAAGAACGGTTGAGGCACGACAGAATGTCGCAACAAGCATCGATTCGAAAGGAAAGAGTCTGGCCCTTGTAGGCACCAGTCAATTCTAGTTTGTTTGATGCGGATGCGTCGACTTCTGGGGCTCATGCATCTCCAACTTTGTCTTCTTGAAGGAGGCATGTGTCACCTCATGATGCCCAGGAAGCCCCACCGATACATGTTGAGGCACCCTAGTCACTCGAGGGGTTTGGAGGAGGCATGTCTGACTTACCGCTGCTGCCTTTATATCTGGACCATATTGCCAAACATGTGTGGGACAGATAGGTAAATTTCAATTGTATTTATTTTTCAAAACACATTTGTTATAATATTTAAAGTTTTAAACGATGATTTATTTTTCTGTAGAACCGTGATGCTTTAAAATCCACCAACCATGGTCGAAAGATTGTGAAGCTACCTCAACCTCAAGAGTAATGGTTTTACGATGCGATGCAACTATCTGAACTGTGAGACTTATGCAGAATTGGATAATCTACGATTAACCATGGTATGTTGTTCCCGTTCGTTAAGAGATGACACTTAGAGACATCACGTTTTCATCTTCCACATGGTGAGATATCCATCACACTAGAAAATGTCTCATGCATGTTGTATCTTTCGATTGAGGGAAGACATTTAAAGCACTATAGAATTATCAGAGACGAGGCAGTGGACATGATGTTGGCATATTCGGGAGTTGACTTAGTGGATGCTTTGAAGGAGGTAGAAGAAACCCGAGGGTGTCATGCTAGGTTTGGATTCCTAGAGAGGTTGTACGCACAACAACTAATAGCGTCAAAGCAGGGTGTTGGTGATGATGAGAAAGTTATGCAATAGAGAGCATACCTCTTGTACTTGGTTGAAACATCCATTTTTATGGACAAGAGTGCCTATTACATAAATGTGGTCTATCTCAAATACTTTGCTGACTTAGAGTAGATTCATGAGTACATTTAAGGGGCTGCTTATTTGGTCTACCTGTACTCTAAGTTAGCTTAAGGTTGTATGTGGAAGAATAAATAGATGATAGCTAGATGCACTCTATTGACAATATTATATATTTTTTCCTTTATTGTTTATTTACCATTTTCATAATACTCATGCTATGTCATTTCTAATAATTTATATGTACCATTTTTAGGCATGGATCCTATAAGGCCTCAATCTGCTTTCAGGATTACCGAGTGATTCCACAAATCAACACAAGTCTTTTCAGCATGCTTTGTCCTGACTCACACGTTTTTCGAGAAACTTCCTAGAAGGTCACTCATCCAAATAATACTTTAAGTCAAACACATTTAACTAAGGAGTTCTTATGTGTTAGGCTACCGAGAAAAAGATGTATCTTCTTGGTATAGGTAGTACCAATCAATCCTTATAAGCATTCCTTCAACCATACTCCCTGCCATCTTCGGCCTCAGGTCTTACAACTATTCCCCGCCCTATTCGACATCGGGTGTTAGATGCCCACAACTTCATTTTGGTTCATCCCGAACCAAATCATACTGGGAAATGTATGCTCTGATATCATTTGTAATATCCCATACTACTTTTACGATTACCGACTGACCCCACAAACCAACACATGTCTTTTCAGTATGATTTGTTCTCACTCACACGCTTTCTAGGAAACTTCCTATAAGGTCACCCATCCAAATACTACTCCAAGTCAAGCACACTTAAATATGAAGTTCTTATTTGTTAGGCTATCGAAAAAAAAGACGAATCTTGTTGGTATAGGTAGTACAAATCAATCTTTATAAGCCTTTCTTCAACCATGCAGTCACATACATGCACAACCTTAAGATCCCCTCATTTCGATGTGCATTTGAGTGACCATTCCCTGCCCTCTTCGGCCTGTACAGTAATTGAAACTGTGTAAAAATATGTTTTTATATTTCATTGTAATTGAAACTATTACACGTGAGGTATACATAAAATACAATATGTTGAAAGTTGTACATTAATTGGCTAGTAAACAGAGAAATAACTGCCTATCAATGTTGCCACCTAAATAAGGAAATAACAATAATAGATAATAAATCTATTTACACTATCTGTTTTGTAACAGTTTGACAAATAAGAATCTAAGGATTATGATTTGATATGTGCTAATCTTCAACACACACTCAATCTGAGTGATAAATGTTTATTATATCCAATTAAATTTGATATTTTTCCAAGTATTTCTTAGAAGAGCCTTGGTTAAGATATCTGTAGTTTGCTTGCATGATGAGACATGATCATTACTTATAAGCTCACGATCAATTTTTTTCTTTAATGAAGCGTTAACCAATTCCCACATGTTTAGTTATATCATGTTGGATTGGATTCTTCGCAATGTTTATAGCAACTTTGTTATCACATAGTAACCTCACAATGATTCACATGAATTCTGATTTCATCTAGTGTCGTGTTAAGTCACATTACTTCACAACTACTTAGGGTCATAACTTTAAATTCAACTTTTGCACTACTCCTCGCCACTACAAATTATTTCTTGCCTCTCTAAGTTACTAGGTTTCCTCCCACAAATAAACAAGAATCCTAATTCAAAACAAACAATTTCACATCACTTGCAAATCCAGCAAACTTAGGTAAAAAAGCGAAACCGAATTGCAAAAAAATAAAGAGTGTATACTACCCGCCCCAAGACTTGGATCTTAAAAGATGGATAATAAAATCGACCACAATAACAAAATCATATACCAACAATTCACTACAATAACAACAATAATAAAATTATGATGAAAATGTATTTAAATCTTATTCAATAAAATACTCATGAAAAATAATAATAAACAAATCACTTTCTTTTTTTTTGAGGGAAGAGAATATTCGAAATAGACATCAAACTCAAAAGCCATGTAGCGGGAATTTGCTTTGGGTGTTCATGAAACACAGTAAGCAAACACAAGCTATGGATTTTGAATGCAAGGACGTTAGCGTTTGGAAAGAAGCACTCTCTTCTTACCCATCTCAAATCCAATCTCTTTCTCTCACCAAGAAAAAACCCGATTTAGTTTCTCTTAACCAATTTTACTGCAACGAACTCCCTTCTCTCATTCACCAACGAAACCCTAACCCTTTCATCACCACTCAAGAACTTTCCAAACTCATGCAATGGAAACTCACCCGTGGAAAATGGAGGTAGGTACCTTAATTCATCATCATTTATTCGATTATTGTTATTTTATTTTATTCAATCGATTTGTTTTGCTTTTTTTAGGCCGCGTTTGTTGGATTTTGTTTCTTCCATAGAGGATGCTGTTGTGAAACGCGCTTCTGAGAAAGCTTTTGAGAGTCTTCCTGATGTGTCCAAAGCGATTTCTGAGTTAAGCACGTTGAAAGGAGTTGGTCCTGCTACTGCTTCTGCTGTTTTGGCTGCGTTTGCTCCGAACTTGACCCCTTTTATGTCTGATGAGGTACCTCTTTGTTTTCATTTTATCACAAGTTATGCTTTCAGTTCAATCCATTATATCATCATTATCATGATCATAGTGCATCTGATATCATTTTTTTATTGGATCAGCATTTTGAAATTATAATGTTGGGGATAATTTAATAACAATTTAGGCTATGTTTGTATATTTTAAAACGAACAGAGTGAAGCAGAATGAAACATAGTAGAATTGAGCGGAGCGGATTATATATGTCATTCCATTGTTTGGGTATTTTAGGACGGAATGTAACAAAATTGTTATTATGCTCAATTCGAAAGGTACAAAAACGAGAGTACTTGATGAAATTGGATGGAGTTTCCGTGCTCTTTTACCAATCCAAACATGGAACATAATGTTATTCCATTCTATCAATTCAAACATAGCCTTAGTTTTAGTTTATTATAGTGGGACATAAGCTACACATACCAACTTCTCAAAATCATAGTGAAAAAAGACTTAAACGTGCGGCGGCAGTGACCCACCGTGTTACCAAACATAGGCTATTTATTTCTTCTTCTGAATTTAGCATGTCTTGATGTATCATCATATGAATATTTTTAAGGCAATATGTAGCAAGTCTTTTATTGGTTTTGATGGATGTTTTCTTTGTAGATGTTTTTGGTGTATGGAATAAATTAACTGTGTTCTTTAATTGAAAGGACTAACTTGTATGATTCTTACAACTTTTATGATTAAAATGCTTATTTACTCTATTATTTTCAGTAAATGATTTTATGATAAAGGACTTTAGGAGTGTCTGAATAATGTTGAGTGTCAAATAGTGTTCAAAAGTTTACAATTTGGCCGAAATTGTGCCTAATGAGACTAAAACATCCCTAAAAACTATACTGAAATGGTTATTTTTGAAGACTAAATTTAGTACCTTTCTTATAGACCCTCATTGTATTTTATCAAGTACAATTTGAGGCTTTGCCCTGTTTATTATTTCGTAGTTATGTAAGATTTGTTTTTAAGATACTAGGGGACAGAACTCTTATTATTTTTATTGCTATATTATTTACTACTTATAGTTTATTTTGGTTTTTCTTGTGATTATGTGATCATTGGCTGCACTACAATGCAGGCTATGCAGGCTGCTCTTGGAAACTCAAAAGATTATACGCTGAAGCAGTATCTTATATTTGCCAATAAACTGCAGGAGAAAGCAAAGGTACTATTATTCTATCATTTCTGTCTTTTTAATTTGAAAGGATTTGTGCTTGGTGTTGTGAATTTTGATACAGGAAGATAGGAATAGATTGATTCATTTAAATATTTGGTTATTTTGAATTCAACCGTGGTTCTGTAGTTAAGTTGATAAAAATAAGTACTCTTTCATACAAATTTCCTATCGATGCCTGTTGCATTATCTCTCTTTTGGTGGCAGAGAAACAATCATGTGCTGTTTACCTCTCACATTTTCTGCTATTCAATTAACGGCATTACTATATGAAGTAACTTTGTAACTATACCATTTGCATGGAAAACAATTTGTAGGAACTAAGTTCAGAAGAGACCCCCTTTACCCCATCTGATGTAGAAAGGGCTTTGTGGAGCTGTGCTATGGGGAAGTTATCAGCACCTAAATCAAATCAGGATCCTAAGACCAATCCAAGCAAAAGCTCCAAAAGAAAGAGAAAAACTTGACAAAAATCGAGACGGATTGTTTAATGGAATACCAAGTGATGTCTGTCCTCTTTGTGCTGTGCCAATTTGTTGGGGATATGACAATGTATGATATTTAGTTCTTAAGTTGTGACCAAATTGATGTTTTATGTTTTCTTTTCTTGGTAAGTGCTAACATTACTTTTCTTGAAAGGAAGGACTAGTGAAGGAGTCATGGAACTTAGAGCTTTCATGTACTTAATTTTTGTTAATGTTCTTTTTAAGAAAATCAAAATCTTGAAGAAAATTAAGAGCAAGACTGTTAAAGTACAAATGGAGAAAACATAAGGGGGCAAAATTGCTCATAACAAAGGTGAGGTCAATTACACGATTGTGTTATTTGAAGGGTTAAAAAGTATTATTAGATCTTAATTTACTTGATTTTCTTATTTAATGAATATGTTGGGTCAAATATTTCCCACACGTCTTACCTTATACTTATCTCACCATCGTATTGTTGGAAATTCATCTCACACCCTATGAAGAATTCCCTTCAATCTTGATCTTAAGATTGATGAACAAACCCACAATATGATTGTAATGGTGATAATATGTAAAGAGTTATCAAGAACAACAAAATAGAAGAATAATAACAAATAAACAAACAGCAAGAGATAAGAATGAGAGAAGAAATATTTGGAGAAAATTGTGTAACCCACAAACTGTGAGATTTCTGATTACTATTGAACTTTCACTTGATAAACTCTTCAATTGTGAAATCTGTTCTATTGTATATATATATATATATATATATATATATATATATATATATATATATATATATATATATATATATATATATATATATATATATATATATATATATATATATATATATATATATATATATATATATATATATATATATATATATATATATTTAAAAAATAGAAAAATAAAAAATTAAGAAGAATTTAAAAGAGGAGTCATGTATGAAATTAGAAGGTAATGGTATATATAAAAGCAATGCTATTCATACATCATCATCATACACCAATACTTGCATCATATATATTGTTAATCATATTTATACGGTGAATAATATTTTTTTTAATAAAATTTTATATTTGTGGATGTTATGAACAGTACCACGAACAATATTTGAACAGTGTATCGTGAATAGTTTTTTTAAGTTGTGAAACAAAGTTGATTAATAAAATATAAAAAGTTGGTTAGCAAAGTTATGAAGTTGGTTAATAAACGTCTAGATATTAAAAATATCAAGTTAGTACTTTAATTTTTTTTGTAACGCTTTGATCTTTTGTGCTGAATAACATTTGCGTCGTTGATCTTTTTAAAAATTTCGGTTACAATAAATTACAAACATGTATATCATTTAAACTTGTTTTTTTCGCTGATCACGATTATGCAATCAAATTTATTAAACAAGTTACTGTTCATGAGAATCAGGAAAAAAAAATGAACAAATACATAATCAAAAATCGTTCGATCTAACCAAAATATACAATCAAACACAAATTTAATTACATATTCGTGATCAACGCAAAAAACCAGTTCAAACGGTATAAGAGTTTGTAATTTATTATAACGGAGATATTTAACAAAGGTAAATTACGCAAATGTTACTTAATATAAAGGACTAAATCGTTAAAAAAACTTAAAGGACTAACTTAATATTTTAAAATAATTTAAAGGACTAAAATAGTATTTTTTCTGAAAAGTAACCTGTATTAGTAAAATAAAATTGATTAATAAAAAGTAAAAAATTGGTTAATAAACATTTAAATATTAAAAATATTTTTTAATAATAAATAAAATTAATTAATAATATGTAAAATATTAGTTAATAAAATTATAAAATTAGTTAATTAAACAATTTTATATTAGTATCATTTAATTCAAAAATAAATAAATATAATAATTGAAATATGGTATAGTGTAGAAGTGGTATAAGAATATTATATAGGGTAATGTTAACTTGTGACCTTGGGGCACATGATAAGAACTAAATTAAGCAACATTATCTTGAAAATTGTGTATAAACTTTAATTAAAGTATAAAATTAATTTTTAAATCGTGTTTTCCAATACAAATTTAAAAATTAATTTTATACTTTAATTAAAGTTTATACACAATTTCCAAGATAATGTTTCTTAATTTAGTTCTTATCATGTGTCCCAAGGGCACAAGTTAACATTACCCTTGTTCTAAAAGGTATATAATAATAACACAATTATTTTCGTTGATATTTTTCAATATAAATAATTTGTTTATTAAAATTAAAAGTACATTGAATTTATTTTCCTATTATATCTCTTTTTTACAAATAATTTTTATTAGAAATTGAATCCTTGTTTCAATTATCTTTATGGGTATCTTGTTCATTAATGTAAGAATTCTACTTTCTTATTATTTTTTTAATTATTGATTTATAAATATGGAGAACTTATTTATATATATTAATATATAAATATAAATAAATGATGTTGTGAGAGACTGAACCTCAACTCAAGACTGAAAAATAAATCAAACCAATTCAAATATAATTTAAAATTCAATTTGATAATTAAATTGTTAAATTACGTTTATGAACCAAATGAACTAATATAAGAAAAAAAAATATTAAATTTTTTAATTAAATGAGATAAACTTAAATTATGTATATGATTCTTGAATTTATGAGTCAATTTGATTACACTTCTTCCGTTTTTTTATTATAAGTTGTTTTTTTTTTATTTTTTACACATTTAAAAAATATAATAATTATCGTATGAAAAAGAGAAATTATAAAAGGTTTTATAAAATTGTCTTTCTTTAATGATATTGAAAAAACAAATTTAAATAATTAAAAACAGAGAGAATAATAAATATTTAAGGATATAATAGAAAAAATAACATTAATGATTCATTAGTATTATAAAATGACTTATATTATGGTACAAAATATTTTTCCAAAACTACTTATAATAAAAAACGAAAGTAGTATATAATAAAGTTTATATTGGTTCTAAGAGATGGTTTAAAGATTTATGTCAAATTTAGTTTTTTTTTTTAATTTAATAATGTTTTGATCATTTATATTTTTAACAAAGAAAATATTTAAAAAAATAATAATTCAAATAAAATTAACGTTATATAACAAATTAGGTATAATTACAATTTTGATCTCCCATATTTTACTTGACTCACGAAATTAGTCTTATATTTTAGATTTAAACAGTTTTGGTCGCTGTATTTTAAATTTAAATAGTTTTGGTCTCTATTTTAAATTTAAACGGTTTTGATCTCTTCTCATATTTTTGAATTTAAAATGAATGATGTTTTCATTTTTTAAATTAAAATTTACATGTAAAACATAACATATCACCGTAATATATTATTGAATTTTGTAGATAAAAATATAAGTTAAAAACCTAAATTTTCATCGTTTTTTATGAAAAAAATTTAAGGGGACTAAAACTGTTTAAATTTAAAAAAGAGAAACCAAAACTGTTTAAATTTAAAATAGAGGATTAAATAAGAGACTAAAACTGTAATTTAGTCAAAAAATTATATACATTAATTATAAATTGACAAAATATCCTTCTTGGTCCCTTAATTATACCTCGGGGTTCATTTTGGTCCTTAACTTTAAAAAGTTCCATATTGGTCCTTTAACTCTTCAAACGTTCCATATTAGTCCTTTTTGACCTATTAGCGACGGAAAAAAAATAAAAAAACCGTCGCTAAATCCGTCGCTAATAGGTAAAAAAGGACTAATATGGAACATTTGAAGAGTTAAGGGACCAATATGAAACTTTTTAAAGTTAAGGGAGCAAAATAAACCCCGAGGTATAGTTAAGGGACCAAGAAGGATATTGTGCCTTTTATTTATTAAAATTATTATATCAAATAAAAACATCAAAGATTTAAATATAAAAAATTAAATTCCAATCTTATAATTTTTATTTTTTTTAAATATTTAAAAAAAATGTTACATATAAAAAAATAGACTTTAAAAATTAAGTATGTGGACGAGCTCGAATCAAATTTAAAAAACTGAATTATGTTTGTAAATTTAAAATGAGTAAAATTTAAGTTGAAAAAAATTTAGATCGAATTTGAATCAAATTTTAAACTAAATTAATTCTTATTAAATTGAACTGAACTTAATCGAGCCTCCACCAACCATCATTCAATTTAATTAGCCTATGTCATTATTTCACTATCTTTATTTATTATTTTATTTATTTTGATTTAACATTTATTTTATAGAAAATTTTAGCGAGTGTTCTCGAAATATTGATTAAGAAATTAAAAAAATAAGTTGACTATTTTTAAGAGATTAAAAATATATATATTTTTTAAAAAAATATGTGTATTTAATGCATTAAAAACATAAATAATTAGTGTTTTTAAAGAATATTCAATGAATTAAATTTATACTATTTTTTTATTTCGAATTTTTAACTAGTGTTCTTGAACATTAGTTAGCATGACTCTTATTTTATTTGTCTAATAGATAAAGAGTAAAATATTCTTTTTAGTCCCTTAACTATATCATTGAATTCAAATTGATTGTTTATTTATTTTTATGTCAGATTGGTAATTTAATTCGTAAAATATGTTATTTTTGTCTATTTAGATAGATTTTAAATTTTTTCGTCACTAATAAGATAAAAAGACTAACATAAAATATTTTAAAAAATTAAATGATCAATTTAACAAAAATAAATTAAAGGACGAATTTGAATCTAAAAATATCATTAAGAAAAAAAAATATTTTACCTAGATAAAAGATAAAAGCAGGAATCCAATTTTCTTAAATCTAATTAATCTGTAATTTGAAAGCACAAATTAACATCATTTAAAATAGAAATTTCTTTAAAAAATAATCTTTAAATATTTAAAAATTTGAATCCATAAATTTGAAAAAACATATTTTATATTTAATTTATTAATACATATTCTTAAGTCTTATTTTTCCTTTTGTTTTTTCTCTTTAAAAGCCTAGCTCTGTTTTCTCCTCTATGTCTTCTTCTTCCCACTTCACTTTCTCACAAAATGATATCAAACTTCTACTGCTAGCTTCTTCACCCTCTTTTCTTTACTGGGTCGGTAAAAAAGTCAAAACTTTCGGAAAAAAATGGCATCTTTATTGAAATGGTGGAGTAAAGAGAATAACAATCATCACCATAGAGGAGCCCCTGTGGTGGTTAAGATGAATGTTGAACTTGAAACTCCTTCTGATGATGATTTTATAAACCTTTCCGTAAGAAACAACAAACAAAGAGGCAAAAACGCTAAACAACTAACTTGGGTTCTTCTCCTTAAAGCTCACAAAGCCGCAGGTTGTTTAGCTTCTATTGCTCCTGCATTGTTCACACTTGCTTCATCTGTTAAACGCCGTGTGTCTTCTGGAAGAACAGATGATGATGATGTTGTTGTTAGGGGAAGAGACAAGACAAGATTGTATTCATTTATCAAAATGTTTCTTTTGGTTTGTGTTGTTTTGTTCTGTTTTGAGGCTTTTGCTTACTTTAATAAAAGCTTGCATTTTGATGCTGCAAGTTTGGAGTTTGGAGTTAAGGGTTTGTTTGGTTGGGTTTATTCTAAGTGGGTTTTGATTCGTGTGGAGTTTCTTGCACCAATGCTTCAGTTTCTTGCGAATGTGTGTGTTTTGCTCTTCATTGTTCAGAGTTTGGACAGGTTGGTTCTTTGTTTAGGTTGTTTTTGGATTCGGTTTAAGAAGATTAAACCTGTTTTCAACGTTGGTGATGGTGATATTGAGAATGGGGAAAAGGGTTTCTTTCCTATGGTTTTGGTGCAGATTCCTATGTGCAATGAGAGAGAGGTGAGTGAGATACAATGATTTGGAATTGGATTATGAGTCTTTTGTGTTGTTTTTTCTATTTGTTATGTTGATTGGTTTAACTTTGTTGTGTTTGTTTGTTTGTTTAGGTTTTTCAGCAATCAATTGGTGCGGTTTGTAATTTGGATTGGCCGAAATCGAAGTTACTGATTCAAGTTCTGGATGATTCCGATGATCCTACAACTTCTTCGATGATCAATGAGGAGGTTCAAAAATGGCAACAAGAGGGTGCCAACATTGTTTACCGGCATAGAGTGATTAGAGAAGGTTACAAAGCGGGTAACATGAAATCTGCCATGAATTGTAGCTATGTGAAAGACTATGAATTTGTTGCTATTTTCGATGCTGACTTTCAGCCTGCTCCCGACTTCCTTAAAAGAACAGTTCCTCATTTTAAGGTATTTAATTGATTGATTGGTTCGATGTTCATAAGTTGTCTGTTGCTTATTTCCACAACATCTTTAGGATAGTGTTCATAGGCTGTTTTATTTTCATAAGCTCTCTAGGATAGTTTGTTATAGAAATATGTTTATACGTAAGCGCTTATATGAAAAGCGCTTAAGTAAGCTGTTTATCAAAACAAGAGCTGCTATAGTTTGAATAACCATTAACCATATATGGATGTGTTTGGTAGTATGCTGTGGTAGTTGTTTACTCGTTGGTTCACTTGATGCGGTGATGTTGTATAGGATAATGAAGAAATAGGACTTGTTCAAGCAAGATGGTCTTTCGTGAACAAAGACGAGAATCTCTTAACAAGGTTGCAAAACATTAATTTGGCATTCCATTTTGAGGTTGAGCAACAAGTGAATGGAATTTTCTTTAATTTCTTTGGTTTCAATGGAACCGCTGGAGTGTGGAGAATCAAGGCCTTGGAAGATGCCGGTGGTTGGTTAGAAAGGACAACTGTCGAGGACATGGATATCGCCGTTCGAGCTCATCTTCATGGATGGAAGTTCATCTTTCTCAATGATGTTGAGGTTTGCTTCACACACTATTATTTATACCGAGTTGTTTAGTGCTTGTTTTTGTTTTGTGACGATGGTGGTTTTGGACATTCAAACACAATACTAATTTGTCGTTGCTTCAAGTGCCAATGCGAGATCCCCGAATCTTATGAAGCCTATAGGAAACAACAACATAGATGGCACTCTGGACCAATGCAATTGTTTCGCCTATGTTTGCCTGACATTATACATTCTAAGGTATATACTCTCTCAATCTCATTTTACTTGCCGTTTAAGGTACTACGCACATCTTAAAAAATCATCAATTAGACTCTTTTCCGATGGCATAATTTTTTTAGAAAACTTATTTTTTACTTTGCAGATAAGCACATGGAAGAAATTCAACTTGATATTCCTGTTCTTTCTTCTTAGGAAATTGATATTACCCTTCTATTCATTTACACTCTTTTGTATAATTTTGCCAATGACAATATTTGTACCCGAAGCCGAGCTTCCCGTTTGGATTGTTTGTTATATCCCGGTCACCATGTCATTTCTCAACATTCTTCCAGCTCCCAAATCCTTTCCATTCATAGTTCCATACCTTCTATTCGAGAACACAATGTCAGTTACCAAATTCAATGCCATGATCTCCGGTCTTTTCCAGCTCGGGAGTGCATACGAATGGGTTGTCACCAAGAAATCGGGCCGTTCCTCAGAGGGCGATCTTGTTTCTTTGATTGAGAAAGGAGAAAAGCATCTTCTAAGAATGGGTTCGGTTCGTGATCTTGAGGAAATGAAAAAAGAAATTCAACTACAAAAGGAGAAAAATGACACAGCATCGAAGAAAAAGAAGACGGCGAGGAAGCATAATAGAATATACACGAAGGAGCTTTCTTTGGCTTTTTTACTCTTAACAGCTTCAGCAAGAAGTCTCCTTTCAGCTCAAGGAATTCACTTCTACTTCTTGCTATTCCAAGGCATATCATTCCTTTTAGTTGGTCTAGACTTGATTGGTGAACAAGTTGATTGAATCTTAAAAGTTAGAAAAGAAAAAAGTAGATAACTAGATAAGACTGTATGGATTTGGATTGTATTCCGTCAAAATCCCATGCATTTTCGCAATCAACATATTGGTGGGTGGGTGTTCGGTTGTGACCGCTGATGTGCTGACTGCATTAATGCATGAGACTCTGACGAGATACAATATAGTCTATTATACTATTATAGAAAACATACAAAATAATACAAAATAAACAAGGGTGAAAAAATCATGCCCCTATGGATCATTGAAGACATTTAGATTTAGATTCTTTTCTTGTTGAATTTCAAACAAAAGTTGTGAAATTTTAGTAGAAGGTAAAGTCAGCAATAAATGATGTATCACATGTATTTCATGATGGTACAAGTTCAATGCTTTTGGTTATATTTAGTATGAGTTGTATGCTAGAATTAGAAATGACTTGACAAACAATTCACAAAGCAAAAGAGAATGTCACTTTCATTAGAGAAAGATTGAAATTCATATAACTTTTTCCATTCAACCATTGTCAAATGACTTCCTTTTACGGACTAAACACTGAGATGGAAACATATGCCCAAAACAAACATACGTATGGTGCATGGTTTGGTTTAAGTCTCTCAATACATATTAGCACATTTTTATTTTTTTATTAATGTTATGGTTGGAAATTTCGACTTCATTATGGTTTATCTTTAGTTGATTAATTGTGGCATTTTGTTTGTCTTTATTGCAGCCTTTAATATATTCTTTGTGTTGGGTTTGAAAAGGTGAATTTAGGTTTATATTGTTTTGAGATATGGTCTAGATAGTAGTGTTTATAAAGTTTGGACAACTTTATTTTCTAAACTGATTTTAGATGAGTTAGATCAAACCTGTATATTTTAAAATGGTATCAAAACAAATTCTAGATTATTTATTGGACTTTCTACATCTTTCATACTTCGGACTTGTATTATATTTATAAGTGAGGACAATTTTCATCTTACAAAACAATTTTGTATGGTTGAAATAGGTGCCTATCAAGTTTCAATTACCATAAGTTAAAAAGTGAGGGGAATATTCACCTTATAAGTTGGTTTTATATGGATAAATTAGACTTAACCTACACATTTTAAGATGATATCAGAGTCTACCCTATATCATTTGTTAGGCTTCCGACTTCGGCCTCATTAAGGCCTAATTATGAGGGGTTGCGTTGAAATTTCCATCTTCATTGCGGCTCACCCCTGGTTGTCTAAATTACGACTTTTGACTTTCTTTTATTCCAACATTCAACACTTTCATTTTAATGGGTGAATTTAATCTCACATTGCTTAGAAATATAACATATTGTGTTTATAAGTAAGGATATATGTCACCTTATAAATTGGTTTTGTAGCGATGAATGAGTTCAACTCACATATTTTGAGAATTATGTCCTTTCATAATATCGTGTTTATCTATTAAATAAAACCAACTAACTTGCTTTGTATACTAATCAATCATCCATCCTTATTTGTTATGCATCCAAGTTTGTGTTTTTAATTTAGATTTTATTATGAGTTGAATCATTTATTTGTCTCTTGAAATTGCAGAGTTGAAATTTGTGAATAGCTAAAATAGCATCTAAATTTAGTTACCTCAAGCAAATTAATCATTCTAGTGATGTGATATTTGGAAGTGGTAGAACCTCAATTGTAATATGCATTATAGTTTTTTTTTTTGTGAATGCATATTAAAGGAGGGCTAGAGTAGGATAAATAGATGTCCAATGGTTTATACATTCATATTTTTGTTAGAAAAATAATTTGACATGTGATAAAGGTGCATTCATATTTTTGTTAGAAAAACAGTTTGACATTTAAGAAAGGTGGATTCATATTTCTCCATCTCTTTAGGTTTATTTCTTGTCTTCTTTATTCTTATTAACTCTAACTCTTCCTTTTGGTACGACCTGTCAAGAATAGTTGTTAGGATATTTTCTAGATGGTTTAAAGATCGAAATCCATAAGAATTATATAGGGCCATATATCTTGCACACAACTTAGAGAAAGATTTTCACATTACATAAGAATTGGGAACAATGCGAACTAGTTATTCTATCAAGGGGCATCCATGCAAACCCTCGTTGGACACCTATAAGAAATTCGTTTAGCAAGATAAATATGGCGATCATAAGTCATAACCCTAATGACCTAAAGAATGTTGCATATAGCTCACAAGCTCCCTCAAATGATATGCAAGGTGATGGTTTTGTTGAGAAAATAGTAATTCAAGTGGTCGGGTGATTATTGATAGTTTAATAAGTAATTATTGATAGTTCATTAAGTGATTACTAGTAGTTAAGCATATGGTTACTAATAGTTAAGTAAGTGGTTATTGATAGTTCAGTATGTCGTTGCCGATAGTTAAACATGTGGTTACTGATAGTTCAAAATGTGATTACTACTAACTATGTATGTGGTTACTAGGTAGAAGTTTGTTAGTTATTAGTATGATATTATATAAAGGATGTGACACATATTTGAAAAGTTTTTTTAATACATCAATATATCATATTTTCACCCTAATTCTCTTGTTCTCTCCATCTCTCTATTATTCACCATTGTTCTTGTGATTGAGGTTTTTACCTAACATAATTCAAAGGTACTCATCAACTACTGTCCCAGAGTACCTTTGACATAAAGAGGTCAATTGATGCATTTGTTGTTGGATATTGTGGTTGATGGGAATATGTAGCAACACTAAAAGAAAGAAGATGTTGATGAAGATTGCACTTGAAAATTCAAAGCGTGTGAATTTCACACTAACCTTTAGGTTCAATTCGGCACTACCAATTATTATATATTGGATGCAATAAGGATTAACGAAAAATTTCCTTCCGAGTACTTTGAATACCTTAATGTAAATTGCACAAACACAATAAACTTATCTCTTGATAATAGTTTATATAAAATTGTTTCCTATACTTCACTCATGCATTAATAAAGTAAAAGATGATTTTAGAATAATTGAAATGGTGAAAAATAGATGTAAATTTTCCTATTGGTGTCTATTTTCTGATTTCCAAGTACCTCTATTTATAGAAACATTTAGGCCACTTGATGAAGAAAAACACCATTTAAAAATGAATTTTGCATGTAACTTTATTCAAAAAGGCACCAATAAGACTTGAAACACAAACCCTTACATTAAATCTCAAGCACCTTACCCACTAGGACATTGAATCATTTGTTTATTTACTTATAATTAATATATACAAATTTCCATCTTTTAAATAATATTTTGAAAATATATAACAATTCCCCGTCATTTATAAAATATAACTAAATCTCATATTTTTGGAAATATCATGGTTTTAGATAATAGTATCTTATGAATTGAACCATTACTTAGTAAATTAAATTTTCACTCATTCCCGAATAGATTAGTAGACAGACTTTGAATCAATTATTCATTAGAATAAACGTACATAATTCACACATGAAATCTCGATACTATCAAAAGAATTATAGAAATTGACACATTTAATATAGTCTTGCGTCACATACCCATTTCATGAGAATTTAATAGTAAAGCCATTTAACTTTATGAAGTGGCTCCATTTCGTTCTCGTATAGGTAAACTATATCAAAAATACGCAAATATATGTTATATGTCTATTAAGAGAAAAATCTCATTCTACCACATTTATTCTTGTGGTCCAAGTACTTTTACTCATGGGGACATATCTTCTATCAAATACTTCAATCACTCTAATAATGTACTTTCATCATTGAACTCAAGACTTTACATTAATCAAGTGTAAGTTGAGTTTCTATCATTGGTTATTAATTAGATATGAGCTTATAATTGCAAGATGTTTCCATTTTATTAATTTTGAATATTCAAACACATGCATAGATATATATTTTTATTTATTTTTTTATAGTTTACTAACTATCACACAACCATAACAATGTAGTCATTGAATTATTTTGTATCTCATACTAACATTTTAAATTATTCAACATTTGTTATTAAACCATTTAATAACAAGTCATACGATTTAAAATTTTATTTCTCTTTCAACAAGCACACAACATAATTTATTTAATACAAGAAGTATGTTAAACAACAATAAACATGATTACCAAATTTCTATATCCAAAACAATCATGATCGTATATTTTGTCATAATTAATATTTTATCTTACATTCAATCATGTAAATCAAAAACACATATCAAAATTAAATCTAAATTGTTAGATTAATTTAATTCTCTTAAATAGAATTTCATCATTTACATGACGTACAAAACATAAATGCATATTCTTGAAATTTATTATATAACTGCCGATCATTATACTTTAAATAAGATGGAATTTTATGTCATAACACTTAAATGAATTTAATAAAATAAAAATTATTTTAATTTTTAAAGATAAATCAAATGACATTAATCCAAAACATATTAAACTCATTATAAGTATATTTATTTATGTCACATCTTTTATTAAAAGAAAACTCAATACTTTATGATCAATATCTATGAAAATATATAACAACCAAATTTCATATTCAATTTCTCTGTGAATAAATACAAACCCACTTTCATATAAATATACCACACAATAAATTATAAAAAAACTAAATAAATCTACACTTTATTACATAAAGAACACACTTAATTATAAATTTATAACACGGAATATACATTTTTAAAAGTGATTAATTTTTAGAAGTTACTTCTATTCAACAAGATGATTATTTTGTGCACTTGAGTGCTTCTCTTTGTTCATCTTTTTCAAGAACCTACATTCACTTTTAAAATGTCCTGGTTTGGCACAATGGAAGCAACTTCCTCTTTTTCTTTGTCCATTTCTATTATTGTCATGAATCTTTTCATCATCTATATACATATTATCATTCGCCTTCTTAGATTTTCCATCTTCCACAACATGTATTTTCTCATGAGTAAATTGGTCCTTGGTATCTTATTTTTGCGATACTCTTCTTCTAAACGAATGTGATTACCCAATTGTTGAAGA